GTATCTCAATCTCACATTTAGGCCCAGAGCGAGACAACGATGTCGCGGGTATGTGCACCGTAAAACCAGGGATATTAGGTGCGCTCGAAGTTCTTGTCCACCCGCCAAAGAGAGCGAGAACCATTTCCAAGATGTACAAACTCTTATCATCCCAATGGACTACGTACAGACATTGGTACTTGTATTGCCGCAAAGGCGTCAGACCTATCCTGGAAGCGGTAACGATAGTAAAAAGTAAACAGAGGGCTTCCGGGCGGGTGCGGCATGCACCGAGACTTTCCGCGGCCATCATAACGTTTTGATGAAGGTGTGGCTCTCACAATTAAAACGGAGTCGTACCGCGCGAGAGCCAGATGGGGTGCTAAAAATGTACGCTTTTTTAGCGCGCCTGGGGTGACCTATACCATGGAGAGGCGGGAAATACATCTTTATTCTGTCGAGTATCATCGCTGCACCCGCAGATGTGCATTTGTGCATTAAGCGCCCCTTCGTTTCGGCTGAAAAAAACCAAGGCTCAGGATCTCACGCAAGGGCGGACGACAAACCCCTCACAAAAAGCGTCAAGTTCCAGTAGGGTGATGCGGCCTCCGGAGAAAGACTGGGTTCTATTGTATCTCACGGAGGTAGTTGCCAATGAGAACACGCGTAAAAGAAGAAGAAAAGGGGGGACTTAAAGCTCAGGTTGTTGGTTGTTGATATCAACTTCCGGGTTTTGTAAAGCCGTGGTAAGTCTTGATAAATTCAGGAGCGTCGTGCAACTCCGTACGGAGCGAGATGTCAAAAATAATAGGCAGGACGCGATGCATTGAAGCTGCCGAATATTGTTTTGCGACGGGGACACGGCGGAGGGCATGTTTATATATATAGAAAGCTCACGAAGCTTGGAGTCACTTCAGAATGAGCGCCTGCTTTACTGAGAGCCCACATGTTTGTGCCTATTCTAGCATGCAGCTTTTAGCTTGGAGATCACAAGCGCGACGCGCTGTGGTCCTATTTGAGAAATAGCCGGAGCTATTGCCACTTTTCAACTTCTGTTATCTATTGATATATTTTTCTAATCCCGGCCCTCAAAGGCGTGGACGCTCGGCTCAAGGCAGACACCATCTCTACCTCCACCCCCTCCAGCACTTCGGGGCGTACCTCACCAGCGTATTCTGTAACAGGAACTTCCCATCCGTGTACGCACACTTTTTCGAGGAAGTCTTAGCTCAACTGAAACGCCTCATCGCGTTATTCGCTTCCCGCGGGCAGTTATCTTACGTAGAGATGAGGAAAGGTGAAGTGACATTTATTGTTATAGACAATAGGATTTCAATATACCTAACCTGATAAGTACCTCCAGAAAGGGGATAAGAACTATATAGGGTATACAGCTGATTTGAGACGCACAAAGTATGCGGTACAAAAAAAATGTGTGATGGGGCCAACATTCTCAAAGTCAAAAGCGCCTCCATGCGAGCGATTGCCGCTTCCGGCCCTTCAGCCGCCAGTTCCCTGATCCCATGTGGCCAGTGACAGACATTAGTTTGCTGAGCTGATCTAGCTGCTTCAAAGGGTGGGTGATTGAACACTCACATACTCGCTGAGTATTAAGTCCTTTTACGACGTGGTAGTGGAATTAACTTCAACTGTTATCAAGTGCAATGGTGTCGCCGTAGACTTTACAAATAAATAATTCTCAGGAGTCCGCATTGGATAGCAAACAGGTGGATTTCTGTAGCCCTATCAGAGCGGAATCGAGAGCCTTTATCGTGACTTGGTGTGTGCTACTTCATATGGAATTATAACAAAGACTTTTACTAAATCGATACGTTTTACAATCTTTCTGTACGAAATTTGTGTTTATTTTCTGAGGTGCGGTCATGTCCCTCCTCTTCGGAACTGGTACTTTGGTACGCACAAGCACACCTAAGGGCAATATGAATTACATATAATTTTATTGTATAGTAAAATACGAAGCCTACAATACACAGTACTGCAATAGTACAGTACTTACGATAATCTTAGGGCTTAATTACAGCATTTCCAAAAATTGTTTCTTGATACAATTGCATTTTATTTTAATTTTTGTGTGGACCACCCGATTTGCTACGTAGGTCGTAAGTGTTTCCAACGCATCATCAAGCGCCTTCCGAATAGAATACGTAGCAAGCTAGAAACTACTCTGCCCACCATAGTTGCCTCATCCTCGGCTTACTACTTAACAACAGGACTTTGTCAATGTTTTGATCGCTACAGGTGGTAAAATTATGAGCTGATGTTCAACATTACTGCCAACAACCAGACGAGCGATAGATGGCTGTGGCAATATGATTAACTATGATCGTTATGCTAATTCGATACACCAGTGGGTGAACCGCCCGCACTGAGTTATAAGGAATGCTGATGGATGCGACGCATCTACTCTGCCAAATGATTCGTAGTCCCTCCTATTGCGACAAGAAGCTCTGACAAAAGTCCCATGCGACAGGTGCAGCACTCGATCGTTTTGACTTCAAATCAAGTGGAAGATGCAGCTGGTTCCCAGATGGGCTATCTGATTTGGGATACATCGTACCGAATATATATAATCATGGCCACCTGATTTAATGATGCAATGATATCTCCTTTGATGCTCCGCTTTGCTTTATTAGCTATCGAGCTTGCTTCATTGCTGATCTTATCGATGGTCTATCAGTATAGGTCCTGGTGAGTTACAGCCATTTTCTCAACATCGAAGTGCCAAACAACCGCTCTGGTCCCATTTTATGATCCACTAGCCAGGCTTTGAATAGGTCCGATTTTTCTATCAGTGCATCAATTGAAGGTTCAGTATCCTTGCGATAACCCACCCAATCGTCGTGTCGTACTGGCTTTGAGTTCATGGTAACGATTGACGTGCTCATGCAAAACACAACAAACACATAATCAGGAATCAATCCATTGCACTAATCGGTAGACGACGAAACGACAAAATTCTAACAAATTATACATATTCTGATGTACTGAAGTACTTATCACTTCGCACCCATAGCTTGAAACAGAACATCGGGGCAAGCCACAACAAAAGATTCAGCATGTTGTCCTTTCAAAACCCCAAACAAACATATCATATTCAGCAGGTGGTCAATTGCTGAATTTTTTCATGTAATCTGGTCTGGAAGAAGTTACAGGAAATCAGAAATATTAACCTGGATACATGTCTCGACAATTCTGCAAGCCCAGCTGCTAAGCTGAGCGCGAAGTAGGCTATCTTTTTTTAATACGAAGACATCGATCAAGCGACTACCAAAAGAAGACAAAGCCTTTGTTGACCTTTCATTTCGACGGAGAGTGAACAAACAGCTGGTTGACCAGCCTGGACGCCATCACGACAAATTTCGGGTACCAGTTAGACTGCCGTCCATCTGCAATAGGTACGCACGCAGACACCCGCTAACGACATGTCGATCTTTATTGATGTGACACGGTGCTACTATGGCGTCAATTATCGAGGTGTCACTGACGTAGAGACAACATGATTATGCGGTAGTTTAATCCCTGCGGTCTAATCGCGAAACGTGGAGCTGGCCAAATTGCAGTTGGTTTCTTTGATTTGAGTTGGCAATCAACACATAGTATGTTTCGTCTATACACGTCAAGGAGGGTAAACTTTTGACTGAATGTTTACGTAGCACGCACTAAAGACCGCGATCTTTCGCAAAGGTATTTCACGACAAATATTTTAGCATTCCTTTTCAGGACCTACCCATTTAGAAACATAAGAAAACTTGATTTTCTAGCGCATAATCTGCCTTACAAAGATTGGCTACTCAGATAATATTCATAGCTACAGAATCCAGAGCGTCTTATCATAGCAATGTTCTTGCTAGCGTCGCACGGTTACTGCTTAATTGACTCTTCACAAGATTATAAAGTATATTGTTTATCAAAGTATAGACGTTTTGTATAGCATGTTTAAGTAAAGATTCAGATAAACAGATAAAACAGGATACAAATAAAAAAGGTGCTCACGATACTTACTGGTTTTAATGTGGTACCTAATACTATTACACTGGGTGTTCCAAGTGCTGGAAATTTGGCCATAACATATGCTTCTCATCTGAGCTGTCGTCCAAATTACCGCCGCCTTCGATCGATATTCATATCTATGTCGAGATCGCCCGAAGCCATACATCTGAGCTGTTTGCGTTTCTGGAGATTGGGGAATATTCGCAACGATTACTAACGATTAAGATTCAGTTCCGCTTAAAAAGCTGCAGTGTTTTTCGCGTTGATTTCTATGGACATTTGTGGTGCCACAAATGTGATGCATTATATGCTTGTTTGATGTATATTAAATTACCAGTAAGGAGTAAGGTAAAATGATCCTACTGAGTTTCTAGTACTGATATCGCACTTTTGAATCATGTATCGCCAGGTTTGTGATAATTTCAAAATTCGGCGAGCAAACCAATATACAGAGTAAAGCGCATTCGTAAGCATTTTGCATTTGGAGACGTTTCTTCCCACAGGTTGCATTCTCCGCAATAATAAGTGGATCTTCATGATCTTGAGACTCATCCAAGGCGATAAGAGATAATCTTTGGGCCGTGCTGCAGGACTGATATGTAAGTCGTAAGCGTTGCGCGTTTAGCAAGCATGACTTGCAATTGTAGCTCTTTGTCAGAAAGGCGGGAGTGAGAAATCCTGTACCAGGATTAAACGCCACGATCAGTCCACACTGGGATGTCTGATACCAGCAAATACAGCCAAAGAGGAATTACATAAACGAGTGGTGTACTGATATAATTTAATGTTGCAACAAGCTGTCTGCAAGCATACTTCCTGCAAATCGACACTTTCGCCTTAGCATCTTCTTTATCTCAGTAGATGCTTAGTAGGACGGCATATCCTTGATGCACACAAGCATAATATCTGGAAGGCATATGGCTAGGCATAGTTTTAGATACGTCTGCAGCAAAACTCTCGGATAAATATTAACAGATCAACACCGGCAACGCTCATGTAACGAGATCGCCATGACGACAACATCGTTTGTCCGTTCCGGAATCCATGCGGTCCAGTTGCTGATCTCCATCGATTGGCACGCGAGGGACCGTCAGACTTCAATTTCTCGTCATCGCGTTGCTCAACGCACAGATTTTCTAAGCTCCGAAGGGCTCATTTTTGGCGTTGAGCTCACTTTCACCCACCTGCTCGAAAGCTGCACACTAGTAAGTGTGTCATTTCACAAGTTGCTCAAAAGCGCATCAGGAGTTCCAGAAAATAACAACTCTTAGCAGCACTGCTACGACGTCGATTCCAAGCGTCGACACACTTCACAGGATTACAAGATGGCCAGCACCAGTGCCGACTTTGATCTCTCCGAGTTGCAAAAGTACTATCATCTGCCACTGCGTGAAGCTGCACGCCGCCTTGGAAGTTGCGAAGCCGTGGTCAAGCGCGTTTGTCGAAGAAAACAAATCCAGCGGTGGCCCTATCGTCAGGTATCGTCAAAACTCATCAAGATTCAGCATCTGTGCAAGTATATGGCACACGTGTCAGATACCGAGCAAAAATCTCGCATTCAACAGAAAATTAAGCAGCTCACACAAGAATATCTGGAGCTCGTAGGTGGCCAAGTGCCATCCGAGCTGCAGCTTACACCCGCAGAAGTACCAACATTACCGCCACCAAGTTACAAGGGCACCAGCCCTATAGACCCTGCCGTGCTTGCCGCTGCTTCCGATGACGACGCAGGACAGGATGAAGAAGACGAAGACATAGACGATGCGTCTGCGTCCTGCGAGCAGCGATTATCTGCGTACTCATTGCGCTTTATTCTATCCGACTGTACTGTGCTCGAGACTGACACAGGGCTTCAGTACAGCACCACTGCCTAAAGATCGCCAGCCAACGTCACAATGTACTTTTGCTTACAAGTTATACATTACACAACCTACAATGTTAAAATAGAGCTTTAACTAGATCACTTCAAGAAACGCCCATGAATTCAATGAAAAATACCTCAACGTAAGGGCTTTAGTCTAAAAGGGCTTTGTGTTGATTAATGGCTTTTTATCAGCGTAATCTAATCACCTGATTTTCGAACATTTAGGCACCACTTAAAGCTTAAATTTGGTCCAACGGGTCAATGCCCAGCAGCGAAAAGCAGGTCTTCATGATTTTGACAGTGGCGTCGCACAGCAGGAGACGACTGTTCTGCTCCTCGCTGCCGATTACACGGCACGCAGTAACAAACGTCTGTACCTTCTCCGAGACAGTGTACAAGTAGTTGCACAACCTGTTGGAACACAAGTCCTTATTAATGAATACGATCACGTCTTGCAGCTGAAGCAACTCAATGACTAAGGCTTGTTCCGTTGGATGCTCCGGCATGAGAATGTTGCCTTCTTTCTGCTGTTGGGCTACAAGTGCAGCTATGTCGACACCGGACTTGCGGATAATAGATGACAGACGGGCGTAAGCAAACATTAGGTAGACAGCTGTGTCACCGTTGGTGGACAGCATGCGGTCAAAGCTGAAAATGTAATTAGACGTCGGACTCTGGCGCAAATCAAAATACTTCACTGCACCATAGCCAAGCTTTTCGGCGGCAACGTCTACCTGATCCATTGGAAGTGACGTTTGTTTCGCTTTGATACGCTCCACCAGTTGCGCTTTCATCCGGACCTTTGCCTCATCTAGAAGCTCCACCAGACGAACGGTTTCACCCGAGCGCGTCTTGAAACGCTTACCCGACTCGTCATTTACTGTACCAAAGCCCACGTGATCTACACGCTGCTTGGTCGGGTCGTAAATACCCGACATACGCCCCACCTCAAAAAGTAAGCTGAAGTGATCTTTCTGCGTGTAATCCGTGTAGTATATTATGCGCTCGGCTTTAATCTCGTGAAGGCGATACCACAACGCAGCCAAATCCGTCGTGTCGTACAAGTACGAGCCGTCACTCTTTACTAGCATGAATGGTTGTTTAAAAGTTTTGGTAAACACTACCTCAGCACCATTGCTCATTTCGACGAGGCCCTTGGCACGCAACAGATCCAGGACGCTCGGAATAATTGGGTTGTAAAACGACTCGCCCATCTCATTAAGTGACACGCCCAGTCGATCATAGACCTTCTGAAATTCGCGGCGACTAATTTCACACAGAGTCTCCCAAACTTTTCGGGACTTCTGATCACCGGACTGTAGCAGCACAACCTGCGCCTTTGAGCGCTCATGAAATTTTTCGTCGGCATCGAAACGCTCCTTCGCAGCCTTGTAAAGCTTGGTCAAATCGGTAACGTTGGGCATTTCCGTCTCCCAATTTGGATACGTCTCCGTGAGGTGGCAGATCAACATTCCAAATTGAGTGCCCCAATCACCAATATGATTGATACGCTTCACATCGTGACCCTGGAATTCAAGAATGCGAGACATTGTATCACCGATAATTGTGGAACGCAAGTGACCCACATGCATGTCCTTGGCAGTGTTTGGAGACGAAAAGTCAACGACAATCGTCTGTTTTCTTTGTGGGGCCGATTGTACGCCGTTTGCCAGTATAGTGTGCAAGCGCGCAACCAAAAATTCTCTGGTTAGAAAAGCATTTATGAAGCCTGCGCCGGCAACAGTTAGACGATCCAGCACCTGCGTCTTGGGCATGGCGGCAATAATTGTGTTAGCCACGTCACAAGGCGAACGAGCCGCGTTCGGTGTACCCTTTAGCGCTGTAAAGATGGACATGGCTGAGTTGCACTGATAGTCACCAAATTTGGCATTCTTGACATTAGTGCGCGTTACTTCAACCGGAGGGATGAGCAAATCTGGATACGCAGCCTTGATGGCAGCATCAAAAATACTCTCGACAACCTCAAGAATATTGTGATACGTAATACCCTTTTTAAGATTTTGGTCTAGCTTAAAATTGGACCGCTTAATGTCTTTCAATGGTGTAGCGAGGACACCAGAGGCGGCGCCCGGAGTCATTCCACCCTTTTTAGTTGTCTTTCCAGCACTTTTCATGCTAGCCATACCCTTTGTTAGGTCCTCGCGAAGAAAAAGCTGACCTACGTACTTGCGAAAAGTCTGAAGAATGGCAGCTTCGTCTTTCTCTTCTTTTACAATCTTAAAAGCAGCGCGCAAGGTAACGCCAACCACGATGTCAGCTAGTGAAAGCTCTGCGCCAAAAAGAAACTGTAGTTCCTTCGTGTTTTTAGGGCGTGCATCTTCCTTCGCTTCAAGCATGGCTGCCAGCTGGTCGGCCAACTCGCTGTTCTTGTTGTTGGCAGCCTTGGCCGCACGCAGCCATGTGGCTAACGTATTAGCCTCCCATTCAATCCACTCGTCCACGGCCAGATCATCGCTCCGTAGTTTGCCAGCGTTGGCGGCTATGAAGCGACAAACGGCGTTAGCCGAGAAGAGCAATTCGTCATTAGGCTTAATGGCCAACTGTGGGCCGCAGCTTGAGTACATTTTATCTGCAACGCCCAGGGTAAACTCGGTGTCAGTAATTGAAAGCACCAGGAAGCATTTGAGCTCCTCATCGCCTAACTTTTTGCCGACAAGAAGCTGCATGGTTAGACGATTCAAGAGGAAGTTCACGTCTATCTAATGATGTGGTAGGCTACAAAAGGATGTACCTTTTCATGGGTACATTGACTCTCACGAACGAATTACTGAAAAATTAAAATGAAGAAACGCATCTGTTTCAAGAGGGACCATGTAGCTACAATGACAAGCAACTTCCCTGCGCACATTCTGCTTCCCTTGGTCGACAACTTACAAAGGATCCTACTTACAAAAGAAATTCTAGCTCCAAAGGAGACGATTTTTTGTATGTTGTGCGCTTTCCAAATCAAACAGTCGCAGCATTTGATCGTACGATGTACGTCACCTTAATTGGGCAAGGCCAGACTGCAAATGTAAACAAATAAAGATTGTCGAATCATACAAGCCGGACAAAGTACGATAACTGGTTATACAATAAAAATACATTAAGTACTGGTTGTGTGCAGCGGGTTTTGCTTAGAGGAAGCTTACTTAGTCACCAAACTTCGGTCTATACTAAAACCAGTACGAGTGTAGCGGACCGCAACCTCTAAGAGTACCCACAACCTTGACCCAGAGGCAAATATACTCTTTCGTTCAAAAATCCTAACAGTATGCGCTATATCTAAATCTCTAGATTTTCCGAATTAAATAGTAAACCTTAAGAATTACGGTTTAATTACGGTGTAGCCACACCATTGTGTGATTACATCAGCTTGTGTAATCCACACTTTTGTAATGTCACACCATCTTGTGTGACCCACCCCTTCAATTAGGGTACGTGCAACCCTCTCCCCTATCAAAATTGTGAATACCCACAATTCACATGTATCTGTCGCCTCGTACGAGGCTCGCGTGTCTATGACACCTTTACGTCTCCAAAACCTATTTCACGCATTCTCTGCTCAATGAGCCCTGCGTCTATCACACGAAAGCCACCCAGCCTCGCTGATTCCGAGAGTGCCCGCGGGAAGAGCCTTTCATCCTCTCCAGCACGCGGCGCAACTCCGGACAGCACGCTCACGGGAAGCACATCCCATGCTCTCGGCACCCGGGCGCCACACCGCGCCCACCACAGGCGACGGAATTCGTCGTCGAGGATTTGGAGGAAATCGACTACGAGTCGGACACTCCTTTCCGAGGATGGATAGAAGAGGAGGGCGAGGTGCGCCAACGGCGCGACGTGAGCCAAGCTTAAACTCTGTGGACACCATGTCCGTTCCCCGACCTCTCGGCTTTCGGAAGAGTGGTATTATTACCAATCGCCTCGATGAGGCACAGGTGCAGCAATTGGAGGCTGCTCACAAGGCGGCTCTCCTGCGCTCGAATCCACGTTCGGTCGTAGACCTTCGTGTGGAATAAGGCTTCCGCTCGGCGGATCTCGCTACTGAAGCGAAAGACACGATCACTCAATTCTCGGCCACTACACAAGCTGAGCTTGACCGACGAAAAGCTCTCCGAGCTCGCTTCTTGGTACCTCGAGAAATTTCAACGGATTTGTATTGCGCTTGACTTCGTGCTCAGGGAGGAGGCGCTCCTGTACCCGCAATGCGGATGATTCCTGTGGTACTCGCCCCTGGCGAAACCGCTGCAGGTGATGAAAAGCTCTTTGAGCGATGGTGCAGCAGCATCAGAAACTTTTCTCGCGGTGTAACTTATAGCGGAGCCACAAGGAGGTGGACAAGCGCGTAGAACTCCATCTTCGGTTCAAGTTTGCTAAACTCCAGGCGCGACGCCGACTTCTATTTTATTTTTGCCCTGCGACAAATGGATTAATCCTTCATGCTCCCGCGAGCTCTGTGGATTCCAACACGGGTGAGCCTACGAACACAGCAGATCAAGACCATAGCTTGAGCTCAGCTCATGGCTCTTCTGCTTCCCCGGCTATTGCCGAGAAGCGCGAGTCGTATGACGACCCGAAGCGTCATAATCCCACTGGTCATAATCGTCCACGACGTATGGGCAGTCTTGCCGAAGTGGTTACGACTTCTCGTGGTTTGGATATTTCCACCACTTCACTACCATCTGAGCTAATGTGGGACCTGGTTAGAAGTCACGTATTCTTTAATTT